TTAAAAAGTTTCTTGATCTATTTTGGTTGTATTTCGGCTACAAAGATTTAATAACATAAAACGGACCACTCTCGGCGCCTCTGCGTTTCTTCGATCATTACGTGAAAATGCATCTAGTAATAAAAACATATAATCTCTTACAAAAACCAAATTCACTAAGCACTACATCTTTAAATCAATAAATTGATTGTTACCGTAAGAATTTGCATATCACCTGGAAAACGCGATTAATCACCCTAATGCAAACCTTAATGAGAAAATAACAAATTATTTGCAATAAACATAGCCAAAATATGTTTCCTAAGTACTTAATGGTAAAATCACTTGTTTTTTGACCGGAAATAAAATGTAACAGTGAGTAGTTTAAAGGTGAAACGTTAATAATAATAAGACCGACCAATGTTTCAGTAATGTCTTAGTTTCTAATTAGCAATCATTTGCCATTGTCACATTTTCCATTGCGTATATCAAGGTGTTCAAACATGAAAATAACATTCGCAAGCTTAAATTGGTTGTACATATAGTTGCATTGGTAAATTTATATCGTTCGATAAAAGATGTCGACATCTAAACATTTAGAAAGTATAAGAACAATCATCACGTATTATTATTGTTTTCTTCAGGACTAGATATACGTGTACCATTTCGTTATCATTTTAAATTTCTTAATTTTAGGATCGATTGCATCCAATAACCTTTTTGTCAATCCTAACCAACTGTCGGAGCAATGGAGCAAATGTACGAAGTGAACAGAACTTTGAACGATTCAACAAACATAACAGGTAACGACAAAATATGTTGAAAATGGTCATATTATCAAATTTATAATAAAGCTTTGTTAGTTCTTTCTTGAACTTAAAACAGCTGGGCTGTATTTCATTCTGAAGATTGTTTTGTTGACTCTAAATCATTTCATATGTTATTCATACCAACTTCTCTACATTATCGATACTATATTTCACTACTTAATTCAAATGCTTTGTTACTAGAAGAAATCATGATACTATTTTTATTTTTTCTGTTTCAGACATACCGTTACCTATAGTACCGAAATGGGGATTTTGGGTGAAATTTGTGATAACTCCGATAATTGTTTTCGTCGGAATAGCGGGCAATGTGTTTTCATTTATTGTCATGAAGACAAAAACATTGCGTCATAAATCGTATTCTCACTATTTATGTGCCTTAGCCGTGTTTGATACAATGACGCTCATGATACGACAAGTAGAAAGCGTGGACGAATACCTTGTTTCACACTTGAAGTCCCAAGGAGTCTTCCAGCACTTTAATGACGGGTCGTGCAAATTTTACAATTTCATCGTACATGTGATAACTTTAATAAGTTCCTGGCTTGTTGTGTTAATGGCCGTAGAACGTCTATTAGCCGTCTGCTTCCCATTCAAGAAAGTTTATCTCCGGAAAGAAACAGGAGCAGCATTAGCTATTGTCATACTTTTTATCACGGTGTGCTTGAGTCAACTGTTCCGATTTACTATGATTGAACATGCTGTGTATGATGATACTAAAGACATCCAACACTGTTTAGCAACACCAGAATATCGCGAAATGTACACAAGCTTAGACGTATATTTCTTTCTCTGGACTTTGGTGTTTTTTCTACCCGTAACTTGCATTGTCATATGTAATAGTTTCGTCCTGTATCATATATTCAGGGTGAGGAAAGATTTACATAAGGGAGACAACCACCATTCATATAGAAACGACAAAGCGCGTGGTAGAAGACATCGTAGCACGTGCATGCTATTAATAGTAACGACAACTTATATTGTTACATTGTTACCATTATTCACACTGAGTTTAATTGTAGACGTAACGATAAAAGTGGGGAGTCTTGAAACTGCCAGATATACATATATAACATTAATTCCTTACATAGATATATCTGTTTCCATTTCACTCTTAAACTATGCAGTGAATTTTTTCATTTATGTCTTATCTGGTAAAAGATTTCGTTTTGAGCTACAAAAAATCTTTAGAAAAAAGCGGATAATTAAAAGAAGTTTTACTGCTCGGAGTACAAGGGAAGAGTTTTGCATGCAATAGATTTTTACCAAATTATGAAATTAAAATTGTAACTAATTTTTGATATTCAGGGCTTTTTAAGGATTATCTCGGGACAAGATATTGTGCGTAAGCATTTTGCTTAACAATTTCATTAAAAACCAGAAAAAAATAGTTTTAGCAAAATAAAATAATAAAGAATAAAATATTTGGTAACGTTGTAAATATGATTTATATAATGTTTGTCTTTTAAATTAAAACTCATATTCCCAGCAAACACAAGACGTTATACTGACGTCAGATTTAAGTCAGGTTCTGACGTCGGATGACGGTCGGAAAAACGGTTGGATTTGAAAGTTTTTTTGACGTTATAATCTGACGTCAGGTAGACGTCAGAATATTACCATTATTTAACCTTTTTCTGACCAAAATCCGACCATTATCTAACCATTTTCCGACCTCAATCTGACCATTTTCCGACCTCAATCTGACCATTTTCCGACCTAAATCTAACCAGTTTCTAACCATTTTCCGACCTCAATCCGACCATTTTCCGACCTAAATATTAACCCTTTTGTGCCCTAAATCTGATCATTTTCTGACCTTCATCTTATCATTCACCTAATCTTTTTTGTTTCACCACGTCATACATATTTTCTGGCTAATCCTGATTTGATCGAATTTAATTTAACTCATTCTATTAAGTAACTTTCCCTCAAATGAAATGTATAACAGAAAACTAAAAGCAAAAATATGTTTCATGCTCTTTTAATTTAAAATAAAAGTTGCAATTTTAAGCTGATATATACAATTTTAGTAAATTTTGCAAGGTTAAATAATTTTCATAAATTAAACAAAATAAAACAAAATAAAACATAAAATAAGTTAATTACAAAACAAAAAGTATTACAAAAACAATGACATAAATGAAACTAAGAAAACATGTACAAATATTAAAGAACAAAACAATGTATGCACATTTCTATCAAAGTTTGCCTTATCAAATAAAATAATGAAAATATTATAATTTTAAGAAAAGTTAAAAGATTCTTATAATAATGTTTCAAGCAATTTATGACAGAATTTCAGTACTTTAACTATATTTCTACAGCATTTCTAAAACATTAAGTGCCATTTTGCATATTTTGACCTCCTTTGATTATTGTCAGTAATGTATAAATTGCTGCCTTTTAGTTACTTCACAAAGTTATACTTTTAGATATCCATGAGAATTAGCACGAATTTTGAGGTGTGATGCTTTAAGATATGACCTTCTTTCTGCACCCCTCGTCTGTCCGGAGGATATGTAGCGTTTGTAGCGCCCAATAGCGTGTGTGACACCATTTTCACTGAAAAAAAAGAGAAATTAATGAAACATGTAAAAATAACAAGCAAAAATGTTTTCATGGTTATATTAACTTAATGAACAATTTTGCCAACTTTTTATAAGAGAGCTTTAACAAAAATTAAAAGTAAACATAAATGCTGAACATTTAAAAAGCCGCTTTTAAACTCCAGTTTAGTATGGATTAAAGTATGTAATAGAATTTACAAAAATCTTACTTTCATATGTTTCTTTTTACATATTCACGTGTTTCCGTCCCTCCGACCTTTGAGAGCATGTCCAACACTTTAACTACCTGAAAAGAAAATTATATTATAACTTATGTACTGTATTTATTCTACGTTTGAAATAGAACAGTTAAGGAAGTCTTAAATATTTCATAGTTTTAAATTAAAGATTTAATGCCGAAATGTCTGGAGCCAAAACGTCTTTGGTTATTTGGGACCGGAACGTTTTGGGTTATTTGGGACCCGAAATGCTCGAAATCGTACAAATTCATTCTCAATTCTCAGATTTTAACTGACAAAAACATCACAGTTTAAGAAAAATATGAAAACTAAGCATTCTCTTTGGCAGTACTGAAAGGCATATTATAAACTCTTCACAAGCAGAGTTAAAACATGTCAATTTTAAAAAGATTTATTATTAGACATTATCGCGAATTTGTGTGACATTTTACTTCAGCTGTTCAAATATTGATAATTAAATTTAAGAGTGCTTGCAATCATGCAATTATTTATCAAATACAAAGTAGAAATAAATCTAAATAAATTGAACTGACCATTTTGTTCAAGAAAATCTATAATATTCACTTATCAATGCATCCCGATTTCTGACCGACAACCAAAACGTAACGCCTACGAATTTGAATTTCCATCCACGTGACTTTAGATTCGAATTATAGGTTAATTATGTTTTCTTTCCCTTTTCTGTCACTATGATTAAATGTTAAAGCAATAGTAAGATCTCGTAATGTTGATACATATAATGTACCACAAATGATAATATTACAACGTTAAATGATTGGAACTTGTAAACAGATCTGTGGCTATAAATAGATTTCATAACAATAACACATGTAACTTGCCTATATACAGCGCCGCCTATATGTTTTGTTAGGTTGCAGCGCCGCGATCTTGGTCTGTATTTATATAAGAACACTTCGTTTGTAATCCAAATAACATTTGAAAAAAAGTTTAAATGATTACAACAGCGAATAAGGATTATTTTTTGTTATTTTTTTACCTACCGTCAGGACACCGACCAGAACCAGACGTTAGTACGACGTCAAAAAGAAACGTCTATTAGACATCGGTATTTTAACGTCAGATTTACGTCGTATTTTGGTCGCCGACGTCGTGACCAAAATCTAACATTAATCCGACGTTATTTTAACGTCATGTGTTTGCTGGGTTAAAACTTAATATTTGTGTTCTTATTCGCATTAAAAATGATATTTCTTTTGCAAATGCATGTGCCCGTCATGACCGTTGATTATCACTGTTGCCTTACCTGCAATGTCTTGAAATTTCTTTGAAGTACGGAACAGCGAATAAGTGCCCACTAATATAAACTTTACAATTCATTTAAAATTCTTCATTTTAATTGTATTTCAATGGTTTAAATGTGTGTTTACCTTTTTTCAATATTCGTCTAGTTATATGATATTTTAAGACTTGTTAAAACTTGTCTAATACGACCCCTTTTTAATTTTCATTTGGGATACAAAATACAACAAAAGCCATATAGTAACAAATTACATCTGTTACTGTATAGTTTTGTTTCGCGTAATTTACTTCTTCAGTTTCATTATAACGCCTTTATTCATGTTATGACACTTTTCAAAAATTTTACTTTATGAATATTGATTCTAAAAGCCTTCGTTAAATTCCTACGTAAATTATATAAAAATTTTGTATTTCTCGATGAAGATAAGTAAGGAACAAAAATGGTACTTGAATTTTGAAACGACAACTAAAGCATAATAAGGAGCAATACAAGTTTTTATTATATTATACAATTAAGTATATAATGTATGTAATCAAGAATATATGTCAGAATGACCTTACTCTTATACAAAGTTCAATAGAAATATACCGATAGCATCGAGCTGTTCAGATACTTATAATTGTCCGTTAAGGTTTCATTGCACTTTAACACGTAAACACAGTAAAAAAAGTGACAGCATTTTATTTTGGCTTGATGCTTCTATGCCGTTACTTATAGTTAAGCAAGATATAGAATAGAGAAAAATCAAGAATCCCTTAAGAACGTACAAAACGACAAAATTGAAATTGTTGCAGGCTCGGTTTGACTGAGTCTGTTCATGGACGGTAATGGAAAGTGCAAGTTATCGTCCAGAGGCTCGCATAATATTATGTCATTCAACTTGTTTAATAAATTCAGTATTAATGCTCATTCGCATTCTCATCAACTATTTTGTAAACATTTTAATTAGAAAACACGGAGAAAACAACTGTCTGTATGAGTTGTATTTTCATCTATAAATTGTTGAAAAGAAATGTTTACGTAATTATTCAATACTTATCTCAGCATTCTTAGAAGTTGACTTTTTATTGGACCGTTTAATAGATTCACAGAATTGTCTTGGTTCTTTTGATGATACATCATTCTTGTTTTTAATCAACTTTATTCCATCTTTCGAGTCTAGTGACAAATATAATATAATTGTTATTTCTACAAACACTTTTTTGAGCAACGAGACTTTGCATGTTCGGAGATTGGATATATTTCTCATGCACACTATCTAAAAGGAAACATCAGGTATTCCATCACCATTGTCTCGTCTAAGACATTTTGTGGGTCTCATTTATCAAATAAAATCATTACAAAACAATTTACCTGATATAAAATACTGACAAATTGCTATGTTATTAAAAAATTCACATAAAACAATATACCAAATAATAACATATTTTTATATGGTCATTTTATTTCTATCGTGATCGTCTAAAAATTGCATTCTGTTTAAATAAACAAAGGATAAATGTTTAAATGTTTCGTACAGTTCAAATTTATGTAGAAGAATGTCTAAAGTTAAAAAATATACTGACCTTGTCATCATAAATTTTCGTCTTCGTCCTGCAAACTGAAGTAAAAAACGATCTTTGGCTTTTCTAGAGGTTAAATATGTTATTTTAGATAAATAGTCTCATAAAGCCAAATAAAAAGAATTGAGATTGAAAATGAAATGAAATTTTTGCTGACGATAAAAAGACGAAGAAAAAAAGTACAAAAAATACGGAAACCCTTCGATTCTTCTATTCTATCGGTCCGCTCTCTATATGTAAATTACGAAAGCGCACGATTCGTTTCCCGTATTCTTCCATTTCTTCAATTTCAAAAACGTCACTGACCACACGTTTTAAATATCTCTAGTGACGCTGTGTAAGAGAAGACCTAATAGAGATATTAAAAAAATACTGACATACTTAGTTTAAAACAACACAGAATTATCTCCCAATAAAAAAGAAAGCTGAAGATCTCTTAGTATAACTGCATTTATTTATAAACACAGATGCAACAAAATAAAAGCTAACATAGTATTTAATTTACTGTGGGTGTTGCTGTCTATCTGTACCATATTGTTCCTCTTTTGAAAATATTTTCACAAGAAGGTTGTCTCCAATTAAAAAGGATGTTGAAGTAAAGTACTAAGAACTGAGTACAAATAACACAATAGGAGGGCGACATTATTG